TTAGGAAGAACATACCTGTAATGGAATTTTGATTAGAGTTACAGAATTTCCAGGAAAGCTGAAACTATAGAGAAATTTGTAAATACGTAGAAATTCTCTAGATACAATGACTATCTACTTGTTTTATTACATCCATTAAGTGTCTGATCGTGCCCTATAATTTAGCTATTGTAATGTGGAACCCTAATCCTTAATAGAACCTGAAAAACTTGTGGGTACTACACTTTTATCAGTTATTAATGTTAGTGAATGGTCAATCCTCCAATCTACACTGTAGTGCAAAGCCGGAGAATAGGATGGAAAACAATTAGATATAGCGTCCGATTTCCGATATTTTGGAGTTAGTTAGGACAGAAAAGTGATAGAAAGATATAATTGATTATCTATACAAGACCTAGTTGTAGATAATAAGGGGTACTTTTAGGAAGAATATATCTATAAAGGAATTTTGATTAGATGTACGAAATTTCCAGGGAAACCAGAAATATTGAGAAATTTAGGAAATTCCTACTACGTAGAAGCTAAGATATCCTTGTGCTTAGAGCAACTTATTCCTATTTATTTAATTCTGTCCCTTATGTGTCTTATATTTTCCTATAACATAGCTAAAGTGGTACGGAACCCTAATCCCATCACCATCATAAGGTCACCAGTCCTAAGACTGGTTTAAAACGCACATCCACTTTTTCCTATCCTGAGCTAAACTTCGCATTTCCTTAAAACTAGAACATCCCACATCCTCAACTATTTGTGAATAGTAATCTAATCTAGGTCTATTTCTACTCCTAACTCCTGTTTCTGCTTCTGTAACTAGTCCTTCATGCCTGAGAAGGTATCGTATTAACCTATTTCGCCTATTTGTTATTGACTCTAACCTTTTCTATCCACGGTATCCTCACCATTCGCCTGTAACACCACATTTCGAACGCTTTCTTTTCCGCTGCGCATACTGTCCATTTTTCGCACCCGTACAGCGCCGCGCCCTAAACATACACCTTTAACAAACTTTTTCGAATTTCTAAATTAACCACTCGTGGGCATAGTAGAGACTTCTTTAATAGGTCACCTTCTCAGGACTACTTATTATAGACATATTAGAAGCAGAAACATGAATTACCATCCGCAAATAGAGATGCAGGTGCTATAATTTTCAAAAAATACGAACATGTGGTTGATATAGGAAGAAGCGAAGGTGCGTGTCCAACCAGTCTTTGGGATGAAGACTTATGATGGTAACACGTAATTATTAACCCAATTTAAATGAAAACCACAAAAAAAAATTTGGACAGGGTAGTTGAACCTGATATTGAAACGTAAAAAATGTTTAATTTGTTTAGTGATTTAATTTGATCAAAACCTTGTCGATAGCCTGGTTCTATATAAGGATTAAACCGTAATGGATAACTACAAAATTATGTAATTATTAAAGTAAGAATTAAAGTCCTGCACATTAAAGTGGCTATGTTAAAGAGGTTGCCTATAAACCAAGCTAGTCCTCGAAGTAAGTTATACGCTAGCGCTTGTTAATTGGTGCCAGATTGCTAGATTAAACCTTATAAAATACATAAACCTAATTATCAACGGGGATAATGTCTCGTTTGATTCAAAAAAGTAAATTCCTGCATTTATACAACAAATAAGTTTCACAAACTTTCATCCGATATATTTCTAAGATTGTTTCATACGTGATTTTATTCTGAATAAAAGAATTAAATTACACGTTCTTTCTCAACTAAACAAGAGTTCTTGACACAAATAAAACATTAAAAGAAACAACATAAACACGGTCAACTTGACCAAATCAAAATGAAGTTATATCTATGATTATTTATACTAAGCTTAACAACTATCCCCAAGGTAGCAATACTAACCAGAGGTTACATATTTTATGTTACTTATATCGAATTCCAATTTTTGACCCCCTCTTTCACATTTTCATACTGAAAACTAACTAAACCTTACTTTCCTATCCTATTTTAGCCAAAGTATTTTNTCTATAGAAAAGCTGACTGTGCATCAGACATTGTAAAAGTTTCACCAATATGCACTGTAAATACCTAAAAAGTATCTATAAGGATATGGAAATTTATTCTTAAATCCTTCACTGTGGATACTATGTGAATTATTACCTTAGTATTTTGATAAAATAATATTTGAAAAACGTACCTGGAGTTATCATAATATTATTCCGAATATTATACGAATGCCAGCAAACGAACTACGGTAGGTAACAATTTATGTCACAGCACGAATTATAAAAAAAGAACTTTTTGTCCTTTAGCAGTCAACATCCATCTGGACATGGTTTATGTGAATTTCGATCTTACATAAATAGTGACACCGCTAAATGCATTTACGATTTGTCGGTCTAGGTACAATCAGTTCTTTATCGTTATTAACGATTTACAGCGACTACTGTAAAAACAGTTGTGTGCTTCTTTATACGTGAAGGTATTGACTTAAGTACCTACCTACTTGTCAACTGTTTTACCTGCGTGAATTTCGGTTTACTGACGTTTAGAGATGACACCTCCGCGAAGGACGCTGGTGTTTTAATTATGACAAAACGTCTATAGCGCTTACGCATGCTTACAAAATTAAAAAGGACCTACTCGATCTATACGTACTTAGTATCATAATCGATAATGTACATTTTTTTTTATAAAAAGTCTAAGCAAAACTAACAATTCCTTTTTGTAATTCAAGGCATCATACCACATTATTTATAAGCTGCAATTATTGTGCAGTTTTTGCAAATCGCTGCTTTAAAAAAGCACTTTTCAGTAAAAGTGACATATAACAAAGAGGGCTGTGTTTTTCAAGATTTACTCTATGCATGTCTGTTCTTGTTTACCTAAAAAACTGTTGGAAACATAAGAAAAACATAATTGAAAACTGTTAATTTGCACATGTCTGACTGGCTGTCGAGCGTCAGCGATACGAAGGGGAAGTCGGTAACTGCTACCCTGCGCTGCTGCCGCGAGCTGTTGCCTGTCGGGGTTGATGTATAAAAAGTTTCTTTTCTTTTGCAAAAAAAAATAACGAGTGCAAATTTTAATAGTTAATATGTATGTCTTTCTTGCTGGGCCAATTGAGTTCAACTGGGGCTCATTTTGTTCGTCTTTTTATCGAGCAACTCGACTTTAACTTTTCTTTCAAAAGGAAAAAATAAATTATTGGTGTTATTTTTTTGCAAAACCCACCAAATACTTACTTGGTCAATCACCTTCTTCTAGACATCGCAATCTGGATATGGATATTGTTCTCGTTTAGCTTGCAGTTAAATTCAAATCTGAACCCCACGACTCAATAGTTCGCCAAATTGCTAAACTATAAAATTTTTGTTAATTTACATTTCTTATGAATTTTTCAAATCTATTAAAAAGAAGAACTTATTCGATTGAAACATCCGTCTGAAATTTACATACCTCCGGTTTTCTTCTATGTGTTTTCAGAGAATTATTATTAACATTGCCAGGCTTGATTTTTAATTAATGAATACTTTTCGTTTATTATCTCAATGTCAAAGAACTACGTCGGCATTTTTTATATGCATAAGTATGTGAATGTTGCACAAATTATACTGTTCGATATAGAAAAAAAACAGTTTTGTTACACACACCAATTTAAATTGACAGATACTTTCTACTAAGGGTAACGTTATTATTATTGTTAGCGTACGGAACCTTCAGGGCGCAAGTTCTCTTCGTAGTCACTTGTTTTTATTATTTTTACCAAAATATCTTATTTGTATATTTTATATTACGCCGCTACTTGAAGACATATATACACAAAGTTCTCAAAACATTTCACGATGATTATACATAGAAACAAGGACGATGATAACATTGTAATTAAAACATTACAAAAAATGGAGATAGTAGTTGGTGTGTGAACATTGCCGACGATATACTCAAGTAAAAATAAAAAAAAAACAATTTCTGGTTGATCAAACTTTTAAAATTGATCTTGTCCAGATAAAGCAATAAAAGTACTCGTGATTTATTAGATGTGTCACTGCGATTTATAGAACAACGTCGATAGGTAAATAGAAATAGATTTCATCACGTTGATATGTCGCAGTATTCTTGTGTAAGTTGCCGAGTTTAGGGAAAGTCTGCACATTTAATGCTAAACACTAAAGCCCGTAACAATTTTAGATGTTAAACGTTATTAGTCTATCTATTGTATATACTGCATCATTTTTTTAAACATCCCAATCAAACCAGCTCACTCAAGTTTCAAGAAACCCATAACTAAATGCTAGAAACTACATCACCAAAAATATCTTGGTAATTTTCCTAAACAAATCTTAAAATAAACCTTTTATCGTAAGATTTCTGATATAAGCACTTAACTAAACTAATTATTTGCTATTATATTGATTATGCCCTTGTAGCGAAAAGCAATTGAACTAATATGTCTTTTAGTTAATGGCCAGTACGAAAATTGGGCATCAGAATTAAATAAATACTTTTTTATCCTCTTTTATCCTCAACATTAATCGCTGCAGAAACAATTGAAGAACAGGTGTCCACTTATATGCTCTTACTACTTTCGCACAGTAATCGGAACTTCTGATACCTATTGATACTGTAATTAATAAATTCGGTAAAGAAATTGAGATAAATGATGCATACCTACTTATATTCTCGCTTTTACTTTAATTTTCACTATTTTTTTAATTGACATACAATTAAATACATCCAATCCAATAAGTCCAACAGTAACAAATTAAATGTGTTGATATACCTACACATTAAACGGTTAAAAAATTTAATCCAGTTAATCGACTAGTTAATTAATAGTTTAAAATAACAATAATTCGCAATTAATTGAAATACTAAATAATTGTCAGACTATTTTATCTATTAAACTCGTTATCTACTAATTATTTATGTTTATGAGATCTTTCGTAAGATATCTCGTTTTCAACAAAATGAAATAAATCAACATTTTTAAATAGAACAAAAGTCACGAGGTACTTGAATTCATATGCGAAAGTGGGAATTACGGTAATATAAATACCTTAATAATGCATTGAAAAGCAAAGATAGCATGTATTTTGTAAGTGTGTATAACGGACAAAGATAAGAAATTGACACGTGAGTATAACATTAAAGAGGAGCGACATTTTATCATCACAATTTTCAGCCATTACAGTACACAATTGCAACAATTGATTGACTTGATTTCAGTCATGTGCTAAACTTATCGCTTTCTATAAATATTAGGTAGTAGATAGGCATTTTCCATTCAATAAGGTTTTTATTATTTGGGCCGTTGAATTGGTTATTTATAGATGTAGGTATATGTCATCATAAGGTCGTCAGCCCTAAGACTGGTTGGACACGCACCTCCACCCTTTCCTATCCTGAGCTAATCTTCGCATTTCCCTAAAACTAGAACAAACTACATCCTTAACTATTTGCAAACAGTAATCTAATCTAAGTCTACCTCTAGCCTTCCTAACTCCCATTTCTGCCTTTAATATGTCTCTGACTAGACCTTCATGCCTGAGGAGGTGTCCTACTAACCTATCTCACCTATTTCTTATTGACTTCCATAGAGTCATCTGTTTTCTTATTGTTTCTAATACCTCTTCTTCTATCCACGGTATCCTCATCATTCGCCTGTAACACTACATTTCGAACGCTTCTAACATTTTCTTTTCCGCCGCGCCCACTGTCCATGTTTCGCAGCTGTACAGCGGCGTGCTCCAAACATACACCTCTAACAATCTTTTTTGAATTTCCAAATTAACCGTTCGCGAGCATAGAACTGACTTCTTTTTATTGATAGCGACCCGACCCTGCGCTATCCTCTGCTTTATATCCTTATTACTCCTTCCGTCCTGACTTATCTCCTTTTAGTTCTTCTTCTCCTTTTCTGGACAACTTAGACTAAGCATAATCTAACATTCAAGGGGTATACAAAGTTAGAAATAAACTTCTTCAAGATGAAGTTGGAGGTGATATAGATCGCCCTGTTTCGGCATCTGACAAAAACCGATTGAAAGAGATATCACGTATCTTTTTTTAATGTGGAAATTATCTCGCGTTGATCAACTTAGGTACACCAGTAATCAATTAAAGAAAAGTAATTTTTTATCACATTTACAATGAGATAGTCGAAACCATATATTGTACCAACTTTACACACCCATCTTTTGTTAATTTCTACAGGAACGAGTTGACGTGATTGGAACTTATTAGAAATTTCGTAAGGAACTGAACATATCCTTGCAAATTTGCTTACTAGGGATGCATCGGATAATGATTTTCCGGGGCACCAGTTTATCCCTCTTTAGTTTCGTCTGTAGATGTTTTAATTTATTAAAGTTTGACGGTGGTGATCCTTCTAAAAGTGTTTTTGTTTTAGTTCTTCGTTAGTTACTGTAAAATACCCCGTGTAAAAGTTTTAGAGCTAAAGATTAATCCTGCACACATTAGTTATATATGAAAATTGTCACATTTTTGTCTTACCATATTTATGATTTTTCTCATTTACTAACTTTAATTTTGTTTACTTTAAGCGATAATTAGAGTCACATGAAGTCGCCAATATTTACAAAATCAATATTTCATGGAAATTATTGTTAGCAGTTTAATTTGCACTTGTTTCTGATAAATTTTTTTCACGATGTTAATCGCTGTTACTATTTACATTAAACTTGTCGTTGTCTTAAAAAGTAGACAAAATTAAACTAAAGGACCTTCAGTAGTGTTTAAGAAATTACACGTGATTTAATTGAAATGTAGCATGTATCATAATTAAAATTTAGGTATCCCAAAAAACTCCCTGAATAGCAATAGCATTAATTTGCTCAGTGAAAAAGCTCACCGCGTTACATCGAAACTGACCTGAATCTTTTAGATTTTTCTTAAGATCAACTAAATCTACAACTTTGCAATGCCAATTAAAAAGAAAGTAAATTTATAATCTTTCTTTTGAATCAATTTTCTATTGAAAAATGCCACAATTATTATCCTGGAAAGCTCCCTCTTCTCTATTATTTAAACACATCTGTCCAGTAATACGACGAGTAGATGTATAAAAGAAGTAGCAGTTAACTGTTGTTTGATTAGTTGTAATTTTTACTTATTTGTGAAAAGGTGAGTTTTGTTTAATAACACACGCCGTCAATTATCGTTGTAATGATAATAAAAGTTTAGTATTGGAGTCGATATTAAGTCAGCAGCTTTCAGGAAAAAAATATTTAACAATTAAAGCTTTTATTTTACATTCAATATTATTGACAACTTAGTTTGTATGACCATGAGACATGCGAAAGTGAATTTTCATTTACGTATATTATTAAAAACCTTCCATACATTTATGATTTCATTAATCACGTTACAAACTTTTGTGAAAACAACAAGTACCTACTGTTCGTATCTTTAATTCTGTTTTGGATTTTAATAAATTTATACAATTTGATTTTTGCGTACCTATGTATAATAATCACAATAAAAATTGCGATATTTTAATATAGGTGTATTACTGGTTGTTTTTGGACAATTTGGTACATTCTTCTTAATAAATGTCCTACAATTTTAAATACAGTCAGCTAAGTAAATGGAAAATAAGCTCTAATAACGTTTTAAACTTTTCAAACATAAAAATGTATACCTGATATTCATAAGCTCAATGCGTCAAAGCTATAAATAAAAAGCACCGAATATAAACATTGGCACTACAAATTGTAACGGAGGAAAATATTTGCGGGACTCATTTCAACTTTCATCAGTTTCAACATTAACGAAAAACCTCAATATGGGTAAAAAATTAACATAGCGTAGTTAGTGTCATAAAGCATCTTAGTATATGCAATAAACAGGTCTGCCTATTTCATATATTGTTTAAACATACAATTTGGATTCAAAGTACACGGCAAATTGGTATTTTAAAAATATTAAAACAAACAGTAGAAATAGGTTGACAAATCAAGAACCCATGTGAACGCCATTTCAACTCTTGGGAAATATTTACACGTCTGATTTAAGATTTGTCAATATTGTTTTTATAAGGGAACTGTGTGGACGAATAACATTTCTGTTTATTTCTTATCAGTCATTACATAGTTCTTCTGCTTAACCACAATTAGTTGACTTGAGGGTTGTAAAATACCCTGTAGTTTAACGCAAAATGAAAGAACCTTATGATATAAATATTGAAGTATTGCTAGTTATCGTCATGAAATGTAGACCCAATAGTTTCAAACTTTTCATCATCATCATCATGAGGTCGTCAGTCCTAAGACTGGTTGGACACGCACCTCCACCCTTTCCTATCCTGCGCTAATCTTCGCATTTCTCTAAAACTAGAACAACACATCCTGAACTATTTGCGAACAGTAATCTAACCTAGGTCTGCCTCTACCCCTCCTAACTCCTGTTTCTGCCTCTAATATGTCTCTGACTAGACTTTCATGCCAACTTTTATTTTTTTTTAATTTAAACGAATTTATAATAGGTTATGTATATGGTATACATACATTAGAAAGGGCATTATGGTATAAATAACTGGATATACCCCTTAGACCAGTAAAACTTGAAGAAATGTTTCTAAATGTTTTTAAGAGTTTTTATGATCTGAAAAGTATTCTGTAGACATCAGGAAATGTAACAAGGCTTGTTTTATCAAGTTGAGGAAAACTGTAGTTACTCCATAAAAAAAAGGTACCTACCCGAAACATGTGTTAATATTGATCATTAATATTATTATTATTAATTATTCAAATTAGTAACACTATGATTTGATACATACAGTAATATAAAAAATAAATTCATTTACAAAAGTCAGGAAAAAAGTTTGCATTTTTTGTAACTGATCATTCTAAAAACTAAGTAGAAGGTTTATAGGGCAACCAAGGAAGTATTGCGTGTGTTACTTTTAAGTATACCCGATATTTTCCGTTTCATGTCTGGAATCTATGTAAAATTCTGATTATATTACACATACCACACCGTATATTTATTTTTACCTCCTTCAAATAACTTGCACTATTTTTTTGCTAAATTTTAATTTATGAATTGGAGGAAGACTTAATTTACGCGTTATAGGAAGGATAAGTGCTCGAGTTTCCATAAGAAAAAAGAAAAATTTGCCCTTAAAAGAATTATTATAAAAGACGTAAGTATCAGATTAAATGGTCAAGTCCAAAACTTAACACACAAGGCCAAGACCTTAGCAGTGAAAGCATATTACGAAGTTAATTTTATGATATCCTCTATTAGCTTTTATTGATGCGGGCTTCTAATTCTTTTCAAAACCGTATTTAAATTTTTGTATAACTGTTATATTATGCAATTTCTTAGGATTGACAATGTTGGTTAAAAACGAAAAGTGTTCAGATTAGGCCCTTCCTGGGCACGATAATAAAATGTTTACATATCAGCAAAAGTCGTTTGCCTCCACCAGTTTATTCTTTGATTTGGTTATTTGAAAATCAAAATGTGTGTGACACAAATTATACATTTTAGCGTTAATTTCGTATATACACAAGAGTACAATGGAATAATTTTAGCGAAGCATCACCAGGTTGGTACATGAAAAATTGTAGAATTAGTCAACCATTGTAATCTAAATTATATAGATCTACAAATAATTTTCACTATTTATGAAACCGATCATATTATTGTCATAAGTAATCAATTTCTGTTTAAATATGTACAATTATTTTTAGGATCTTAGACAGTTTTTCAGTAATATATCAATCTTTCGTAGTGATGCCTAGAACTAGAAGTTGAAGGCCAGAAAGAAGCAGTTTGAATAAAAATTAACAGCTTAAAACTTTCTTTACGTTATTAGGTATAATTCATTTGTAAAAATTAATTAATTAATTAATATATGTATTTCCTTTAAGAATGATTTTAGTCTTTCAGATAAATAAGATGCAGTCTTTGTCTTTGTTCTTCCCAAAATAAAACTGTACAACTGCATTGAAGGGACTCAGATAGTAAAAGTGCGAGTTTACCTAATGATGTCATAATTATGTATCCAAGAGTCTGATGTTCAGTCCATATTAATAAAATACTTCCAACATTAATTTTATTAAATTTAATTATTAGTTTTGAACAATCCTGACTTTTAATAATTACCATTCAGTTTGAATTCAATATAGTATACAACTAAATGAC